TAGATGCAGCACCAACAAAAGGGCAAAGGTCGACAGACTAAAAGCAACAGCAACACTGCCACCACCACCCAGGGGAGAGTGTTCCCTTCTCAGCCTACCCTTCTAGGGACGTTAAAGATCCACTTAGAGGTATGTCTCTTAGTTTATTTTGGATCCACTCATGTTGACAACCAAGATTATTCTAAGTTCATAACAATAGTTCAGTCCTTGATCACCAGCCCTGTCTTAAGACAACACAGCACATTGGGGTGTACCATGTAGCTAAACTCCTCCCTCAGGGCCGGGAATTAGTGAAAGACAAAGAAGAGGTCAGGGTTCCAGTGTCCCCTCCATGGGTGTGCCACCAGTGGCTAGAGGACCTCATCCCTTAAAAAGCCCACTCTGGGGCTGCAGAGATGACTCAGTGGTTAAGAGAACTAGAGTCTCTTCTAGCGGACAGGGGTTCGATTCCCAGCACCTACATAGCAGCTCACAACTGTCTCTAGGGGCGCTGACACACTCACACCAATACACATAAAATAAAACTAAATAAACTGTATATTAAAAAAAAAAAAACCTTAAAAAGATCCCTCATCCTCTCAATAGCACCACTCCAGGTTTCTATCAATGAACCCTTTATTGAATGGCCTTAGGGGCCACAGCAACAGTGTCATGTACTCACTAGATAATTGATACATTCATTGATAACAATCCCTGAAAGTTACTTGTTGTTGTTTTATTTTCGCAGACAGGAGTTGACTGGAAATACAGTACAGCCAATGTCTTGGGCTCATCCTGTCTTGAGGCATACGTACATTTCTTATCTCAGAACTGTGAAGCAAGAAATACGTTTTTCTGCCCTTTATACCACTTTCCCTCCCTTCAACTTGGGGTGCATAGTCCTCGTTCTAGACCTGAAGGGTGTTGCTTTATGTGTGAACAGGGAATGACTTCCAAAGTGATAACATTTAGAAAAAAAATCAGATATTTAAAATGAAGAAAACTCTAGAAAGTTCTTAGCTCGGTAAGTGATGGGTGGTGAAGGCATGGGTGGTCTTTCCAGTGAGCAGGGCAGGGTGGGGGAAGGCTGGTCATTTTTCACAGTGACAATTCCAAACTTTAAGGATTTCTTAAGTTAAAACCCCACAAATAGGCACATAATCTGCGGATTCCAGATAACGACAATGATGAGAACTCTTCAAACCTGGTTAGCGGGCCCCCATTACCAGTCATTAGTACTTTCCCTACTTCATTAATCTAGGGTACAATGCTCTGTGAAGCTTGAAGTAGATCTTCCCCGCTAATACTTAATGAATTTGATTAATTAATATTAAGTTAACCCCTTTCATATCTGAAACATGCCTTGACTTTATAAGTTGAAATATACAATGTATTTATTTCCTTCTAGGAATCACGGCAAAGACTCGGTAAATGACTGCACTAAGGAAATGCTGCACACATTTTTCTAGCATTAAATCTATTTTTTCTATAAAAAATCACTTCCCTTATTTCAAATAAATATGAACTAATTACAAGCCATCAATGCTTACTTTTCAAGACAACATAGAGACCAGGTCTGGTGGCTCATGCCTGTCATCCCAGCACCTGGGGCTGAGGCAGGAAGGTCACTATTCAGTTGGAGGCTAGCCTGGGCTACAAGTGAGTTGCAGGCCAGTGAGGGCTACCCTGCCTTCCCCGTTGTCAGGTCCCAAAGTAACCCAGCACAAATGGCTAAGTACAGGCACAGCGAGGCATAGACTAGCCTCTAGGCTCACTCAGCACCTGTGGCTCCTCCAGCACTTCTCACCCTGCCCCACCCCTGCTTTCCCTTCTCCCAGCTTCCCTTTCCTATATAAACCTTCCAGTTTTGGCTCTCTTGGCTCTTCTCTTAGCTTCCTCGGCCTCTTTATCCCTTGGCTTTCCCCCCTCTCTCATTTCCTCTCACAGCTGGTTTAGTTTGGACTCTTCCAGTGATTTTGGCTGTACCCTTCCTCACATCCACAGTAAAGTCCTCCTCCTCACCCACACCTTGGACGGGTCATGATTCGCCTGTCAGGATTTACTGCACCCCTGAACTACCAAGCAGATCTTTCCTTTCTTAAATTACGTTTGCTAGGTGTCTTGTCACATCTATGAGGTAGGCTTTCTGAAAATAATTAGGATATGCCTTCATTAATGGGATCAGTGTCCATTAAAAAAGGCTGGAGGAGCTCAGTCCTGTTTCCATAAATGTCCCTAGTCTGGGTCTGTTTCTGTGGAGATCTCTGGCTTGGACTTGGTCCCACAAAGGTCTCTGGCTCCAATCTACTCCCTCGGATGTCCCTAACTCACACCCAGACCTGCAGAGTTCTCTTGTTACGTAGATTTTAAATACATAATTTAAGAGAAGGAGAGATACCCAGAGAAATAGTAAGACATACTTAGTGATATATGTGATAATATTTTGCTTATGTTTTAACAAATAAAGCTTGCCTGAAGATCACAGTGCAGAGCTAAGACACTAGAGACCAGGAAGTGGCACACACCTTTAATCCCTGGACTCGGGAGACAGAGGCAGAGGGGTCTCTGTTAGTTCAAAGCCACCCTGGGCTACACAAGATTGAATCTGTCTAAAAGAGAAACAGAGCTCACACAAAGGTGATCCCAGCACTTGGGATCCCATGCCTTTAACCCCAGTACTAGGGAGGTGGAGACAGGAGTGATATGGTTGGGTGGAGGGAGGGATATAGGGCAGAAGGAGGCAGGAGCTCAGGGCATTCTGAGGTTCTGTGAAGACAGATGAAGCCTGGAGATGCAGTCTGAGGACAGGATTGCCCCTTTGGTCTGAGCACTGGTAGAGGTAAAATAATTCTCTGGCAGCTGGCCTCTCGGCTTCTCTTATCTTCAGCATTATATCTGGCCCTATATCTGACTCTTGGTTTTTATTATTAAAACCAACTAGAATCCGTGCTACAGATATAGGCTTCTGAATATCTTATCATTCACTGTATATATGACTGTGGGGCTCTTAGGTTATATAACTCAAAGAGCCAAGAAACTCCCTTCTCATTGCTTCTTTTGATGAGGGAAGTTATAGGATGTCTCTAGATGCCTTTGATGGGCTTATAATCTGATCAAACCAGGAGCCACTAAATCCCATGTGAGCTATTCTCATCCAAACCACCAGAAACCCACAGTCCCAGAGGGACAAGGGCAACGGAGGGAAGTTGCTAGTTTGTCTTGAGAGGAACGCCTTAGATGTCCTCAGTAGAAGGCTAGAGGCATAAGTAAACAATACATTCTTTCTTCCTCTCGTGTCTCTCATCAGCAGAGCACAGTGGTCTGGGACGCACACTGATCGTTAGCATTCACTAGAAAGTGCAGGAACAGAAGGATAATGAACCCGAGTTAGAAAAAGGAACCTGTCCAGTCAGGCACTTGCTTCTGTGAGAAGCAGAGAGAGTAAATGATATGGTTTGACTTTCAGATGACTCACACTGAGGTTGGGATGGGTGAGAAGGAAAAGTTCGCCACAGAGCATCATTCAGACGCCAGCCATCACCGGCCGCCCTGGGAGTAGCTAGTGAGGGTTCTAGTGGCTGGGCTGGGATTGACTTCCTGGAGGACGATGTTGGCAAGACAATAAGGGACCTGCTGTACAAAGGACGACAAGTTGAGTCCAATTTAAAGTCTGATAGGTCTAAAAAAAAAACCCACAAAATGAACTTCTCAAGGTGCTTTCTGCTGAAGACATGGAAACAGTGAGTTTGGTGTGGAAGGTGAATGGGATAGTTTTAAAAGTCCTTCCCAGAAATGATGTTTAAAATGACATTACTGTGTACGTGTGAGCATGTGGGGGATGGTGGTGCAGGGTGCAGGCAAGGGTGCCATGGCACATGTATGTGTGTGTGTGGTCAGGAAACCTTGTAGGTCTATTTTCTCTCCACACCTTTGTAGTCATTGGGACTGTGTGGCACTGACTCATGGCCTCATAGTGACGTTTCAATGACTTAGTTTCTGTAATTGCTGCTATTGTCCTGTCCATTCTGAACCGTCAGAGGTGGATATTGAATAGATGAAACAAGTTTACAGTTGTGTACGACTTCCTCTTGTTCACAGAATTTGGACTGATATTCAATCCATACACTTGGTTCTAACCTCTAAGAAAACCTTGAACAATTCTTCATTTAAGAATATTCTAATAAAAATTAGCAAACTGATTTGTATAGTTGCGAGATAGTGTGTGTGTATTTTAAGTTGAAATAGTATACAAATGAGTGTGTAAGAGGTCAAATTACAATGGGTGTAGGGCTGTTGGGGTCCGGGAGAAGGACGAAAGAAAGAAAGTAAAAAAGAAAGGTAAAAGAAAGGAACTCTTTTATCTTTTCCCAAGCTCCTTAACTAGTGGTCAGTTTCCCAGGTTACCCAACAGGTCAAGAGCAGGACCTGGCGCTCTAAATTGTGCACTGAGAGATCTGCAGTAAATATTTTCTGTCATTAGACTGTAATTATTGTGCTTGTACACAATCAAAATCAACCAGAATTTCCAGAAGTATCACAGCTATTGGAGTTACAAATGGCAAATGGTTTGGTGGCTAGGGGAACATAACTAGTAAGAACAGCTAATAATTATAAGTAGACGAGCGAGGGAAATGTGGGCAGTTATACTTCAAACGTATTTACAAGAAGATTGGCATGTATCCTTGAGGAATCCAGAGAAATGAGTCAAACCTCAAGCGCTCCTCCTCCAGCAGAGCAGGTTTTAGATAGGGAAAGTCTCTCCCGCAGCTCTGGTAGCACCGCCTCTTTCTCTGAGCTAGCTGCGACCAGGAGGCTGCCTTCCTCTGCGGACACCGCCCATCCCTCCCCGCTGCGTTAGACCCCGCCCAACCCTCCGGAACGCGTTCGGCTCCGCTCATTCCTTCTCGGCCGCGTTCGGCCCCGCCCACGTCCCCGCTCGGCCGCGTTCGGCCCGGCGCACTCGCTTTCGGCCGCACTAGGCCCCGCCCACTCCCTCTCAGCCGCGTTCGGCCCCGCCCATGCCCCTCTCGGCCGCGCTCGGTCCCGCCCACCCTCCGCTGGCTCCGCTCTTCCCAAGCTCCAAGCGCAGGCCGCGGCCGAGGGGCGGGGCGGCCGGGAGGAACCGCGTTCAGGAGCGGGAGGGAGGTCCGCCGCGGAGTTACGGGAAAGTTGGTCCGAGTTCCCGGGAGTTTCCCGGTGTGCTCCCCCGTGTTCGGCCGGTTGCTCCCAGGCTCCTTTCCTCCCCACCTCCCTCACGGTCCACTCGACCCCTCTCTCTGCCACCGGCCGCCATGGAGCAGCCGCCGGCGCCCAAGAGGTAACGACGGCGGGAGCGGGATGAGGACGGAAGCCGCGGGGCGGGGGCGGCTAGGCCAGGCCTGCTGCGACCCTGTCCCCGCCTGCCGGGCGCCGAGCGGAGCCTGGCCCAGGCGCCCTCGGCCCAGCCGTGCGCGTCCATCCGCGAGGCCCGGGGCTCCGAGGGGACACCGAGTCTCCGCTGCCCACCGCTGACGGGGCCTGGCGCGCCGCAAGTCGGAGTGACCCGCGCTGGGCTCCCCGCCGCTCGTGGGGCTTAGGAGGGTTAGAGTGGCACATTCACAGAACCTGGAGACTTAGGGCGAGGACATCAGTGCACGCTTTTCTTTCGTTTTCTCTTTTTATTTTTTTATTTTTGGTCAAGTTCTTCATAATATAATAAACCCTTCACCTTCAGAAGACGGATTGCTTATTTACAGTTTAAGGAATTAAGTATATTAATAGTCACGCAGAATGCAACACACTATGAATATTGCCGCAATGACAGGTGCTTCTCCCCCTCTCAAGTTCTAAAGAATTTATGGATACAAGACTGGAGGAATGTTAAGTCAGAACCCCTCCCTCATACAGTTTTGCATGTAAAAATAGTGGCACTTTGGTATGCTATGTATTGTTTATGTTTAATCTTGGACATGTTGGATGCATATGTGTACAGCATGTTTGAACTAATGATTTCAGCGATCTTAGGAAGCTCAGGAAGTGCCCATTGATAAAAGTTCATAATGAGCTCTGCCCCAAGAATGAATCAGTTAATTGCTTGATGCTGGATAAAACTTCGAACCTCACTCTTCCATTTTTAATTTGCACAGCTCTCTCCAGAGAGCCGTGTGGTGAAGAGTAGACTTCTTGTGCTCTGATAGCCAGAGATCTTTAGATGCGAAATGTCAGACTCATGAGCACGGAACAATTAAAAAGGTGGGGACTTTGAGAATGAGTCTGAATTGTGTGATTAGATACGTGAGCCTTGGGGCATGGAAACCATCTGTTCACACGCAAGAAAAAGGGAGGCTGTGGATAGGTTCCCAGAAGGGACAGGCTATCCATCTGAGCCCTGGATGGATTCTTTATAACATGTTATTGGTGCCTGTCGCCTAGGATTCACCAGGTACTCCCCTCCCCACCAGTACAATAGAAGAAAACATGAAACTTAGTTTTTTCTTTCTGTTTTGAAGGGCAGTAAGGGATGTGTGTGTGTGTGTGTGTGTGTGTGTGTGTGTCTGAAACCATAGCATAGGCCGACTTAAATGACTGAATCGAAGTAGAACCTCTTTATTGTTGTAAATGGTCAGTTTCAGTATAGCTGTAAGAGAATACATGCACTTGACATCGGTGAATTCTGACCATCAGAAGTTGGTGTGATAAGTTCCTTAGTGGTTTATACTTTAGAAGGTGGTGGTTGCCAATAAAACAGACTTATTTCTAGCTTTACATTTTTTTCAGAGACTCATCATTTTAATCTAGGAATGCAATTCTTTTAGCTCTTATTTTTTCTCCCCTCCTGTGTTGCCAGTTTGGATGGGTTGAAGAATTCCCGCCTTTTACACAGGAGTAGCCGGAACTAGAAGGATAGATAGTTCTTGCCCAGGAAAGCAATTTTTTTTAAAAAAAAATTAGGTTTTGTTTGTTTAATGTCCTCGCTTCCCACCAGTGTGTGTGTGCATGTGCTTGCATGCATGTGTGCATGTGTGTGTGCGGCACTCGTGTGCACACTCTTGTGCATGTAAGCCCATGTCTTGTGTGGAAGTCAGAACAATTTGGAGGAGTTGCCTCTCTCCTTTCACCAATGTGAATCCTGGGGCTTGAATTCAGGTCGTCTGGTTTGATGGCAAGTGCCCTTACCTACTACTGAGTTATTTTGCAAAGGATATGGGATGCTAATCTTTTGTATCTTAATATCTTAGTGTTTTTCATAGCATTTGCAGATTCACGATCTTTATGCTCACACCAACTCTATGGAGCAGACCGGGTTACAGAAAACATACAGATATATAGGTGAAGATACAACAGGTTTGCCTGATAGAAGCCTGGGGGCCACTGACGGGGAATTTCTGTGCTGTTCTTTTGATCATCGCAGTCTAATAATAGAGTATAGCTGCCATTTTTGAAGTGGTATTGTTTGCCAGGAAATTTAAACATTGTGACTGGGGCTTTTTTTTTTCTTCTGAGACTCACTAGGCTGTGCATGTGTCTGTGTACTTGTACAAAGCATTGGAGAAGGTTTATGCATCCTCGACCTTATGGTCTGTCATTGACTGAAACAGTATTATGTAATGTGATCGGTACATCCCCCTCCTTTAGTTAGTCAGTTTGAGAAATAGTAATCCTAATCCTACCACTTACACTAGTTCCAAATTCAAATGTCATCACCAGTAAAAATCTATCATGGGAATTAAACGGGCTCGCTTGTCAAAAGCACTTAGTAAAGTGTTTCATAGTGTATTTAGTACTAGGTCATTGTTAGCTTGTGTTTACTCATAAATGAAGCTCAGAGAGATTAAGTAACTTGGTTAAGTAAGAGTGCCAAAATATTTAGTCTGATGGGCTGCTAAGGTGGTGTAGTCCATTATTACGTAGAGTGGTACCTTTTATAATCCTGTAACGTAGTAGTTACCTTTTCTCCATCTTGGTGAGGGTGCCGTGCATCCTTTCTGCCTGGAGTAGCGCCTGCTACCCGAGCATTCAAATGTGTTCTCATGGTGCTGTGTTTGTTGCCCCTGCCCAAGCCCACATGACCAGTTGCTGCTGCTCAGTTGGCATTTTGGTTATTTCATGTGGGACTAGCCCTTCATGATTTAAAAGTTTGTGTATTAATTTTTTTTCTCTCCACTTCTCATTGATAAGATGACTGCTGTGTTTCAGAAGTGTCATGGCACACAGGGATTGCAGCGGTACCTCTGAACTGGCCAAGTGTGTGTTGTACTTTTCAAAAATTGTTTAATAGTTGAGACATTTTAACAGCCAAAGAGCTGTATCTGGGATAGTGGCAGGGCATGGGACCTGCATTCCAGACCCTTGCCTCCTTGCTGTCTTGTAGAACCAACACTCCATAGAACACAATTTGCTTCCTTTTGTCCTGTGTGTAGCTTCCTTTGCTTTTCCTCCTCTGTTAGAGTGTCGGGCATGGGGCTGGGTTCTGCCCTGTAGTCTAAGTCCCCCTGTTACTATGCGACAAGGTGAACCTGGCCTCATAAAGCTTTCCTGGTGTTCTTTATTCAGGCTGTAAGCCATGGGTGCTCCCAGTTTAACGTTGGTCCACGTGGTTCCTTTAGAGAAGTTTGTGTTAGCTGGTTGTGGTGTGCGTGCCTGTAATCTTAGCACACAGGCTGGGAAGGGCAGATCACTGTAGATTTGGGGCCAGCCTGTACACAGTGAGTACCTTGCCACCTTGGACTATTGGGTAAGACAGTCTCAAAAAAAAAAAAAAAAAAAAAAGGAAAAGATTGTTGTTGTTATTGCCATTATCATTTTCTTGTGTTCTGTCTTAATGTTCCGTCAAGGCCTGCTTTATAAAGCGTCTTCTCTGGGTCCTTCTTTCTACCCCAAGAAGCCTCTCAGGATTTTATCATGTGCTGTCTCCTTTTCTTTTTCTTTATTACAAAATTTTATGCATCTAAAACTTAGTGAGAGCCAATTTACAAAATATTTGTGTATCAGCACGGCACCCAGCTTAAGAAATGAGATATTCTGATATGTGTGTATCAGCGCCCAGCTTAAGAAATGCTGTATTCTGAATGTGTGAAGCCCTCTGTTGTGTGTCTCTCGGTTGCATCTCCTTGCCACACCCAGAGGATGCCACCTGAGGTGGGCATTTGACATTTTTATACACGCCTTTATAGAATGCATGACCATTTTCTTTTGCTGTCATTCTTTTCTGGGAGTTGGAGAGTCTAGCGTGCAGCCAGGCTTTAGAGTCACAGCTCAGGATTCCCAGGCTGTCCCGTGTGGCACCTCTCGTCTTCAAATTCTCGGACTCGGTGTTCTTAGCAAGGCTGTGTGAAACATAGACAACACATGTAGCTGTCCCTGTCGTTTATTCCAGGCACCACAATGGTTTCTAGATGCCCAGAGTTTTAAGTTTTGTTATACTGGACTTTAGAAACGTGAGAACTCTGGTTGTTGGAAGTATATGTAGTTTAGTATAATTCTTGTCAAAGTGAGGATAGATATCCTTGCCCGGGAGACATGATTTACCAAATGGATCTTGTTCTTCAGCCATACTTAGGATTGGCAGTTATGTAAATTTAAAATTAGCTGTCAAGGGAGTAGCAGGGGAAGTCGGTGTGGAGCAGCGGGAACAGTGGGAAGGGGAGTGAGTAGGCGCTTGACGTGCACGTTCAGGGTAGCTGACGTCTTTGAGCTCAGTTCAGCTGTAGGCATTAAAGAAATGGTATGCTGTGAATGGGTAGTTTGGGAGAAGTAAGGTTGGTTGAAGTAAAAGAATTGGGGATTCAGAGTATATTTACATAATTAAAAAATGAAAATATTCTTAAGTCAGATATTTCTATTAGTGGCTGAAGCTGGAAAGTGTTATATGGAATCATAGAAAGTACTCGTGTGTCCTGAACATGAACTAGCTTGTGGTGTCTGTGTGCCGGATCCGAGACTGGGAGTTAGAAGTGTAAATCTGAGAAGTCTGAGCACTCGGGCGCGGGAATGGTGGCTAAAGCAGCATTGCTGAAGTTGATAGCCCGACTGTCACGACAGCGTGCAGAGGTTGCAGTGAGGGAGTGAACTTGTCTGTCCAGTGATATGTTGGTCCTTGTTGTGTCCTGTTGCGCAGACTGACCGAGGGAAGAGCTAGAGTTGTCTTTGATGAACTTAGAGAACTCTTACAAAGTAAAGCAGACAGCCGACTTAGGGAGAAGGGGTTAGGCAAGCTTCCAACTCCATTTAATTCTAGTCTGTTCAATTCTAACTTTTGTGGCACTGGGGACTCAGACCGCAGAGTCTCATATATGCTGGCACACACTTGTGCTGATCTATACTCACAGACCTGAAACA